ACTTATAGTTGATAAGTCAAGAAATATTGCTATGAGAGCTTTAGAGACTAACAAATTTATTTGAAAAAAGAAAAGGAGTACTTGTGGCACCTTAGAGACTTACCAATTTATTTGAGCATAAGCTTTTGTGAGCTACAGCTTATGCTCAAATAAATTGGTTAGTCTCTAAGGTGCCACAAGTACTCCTTTTCTTTTTGCGAATACAGACTAACACGGCTGTTACTCTGAAATTTATTTGAGCAAGTATTCCTTTTGTTTTTGTGGATCCAGACTAACACGGCTGCTACTCTGAACCCTGTCTCTGTAAGAGCTGGCAGACATTTGTCAAGTGAATAATTTTTTAACAGGAAAATGGCCCTTTTTTAGACATCGGAAATGTTAATTTTAAAATGTATTTTTCATTTTTTCCCTCCTTCCCCCAGTTCAATGGCAAACAGGGGGAAAAGGGGGAGAAGGTTTGGAGGAAAAGGCAGAAACCTGAAAAAATTAAAATTCAAAAATGAAAAATTTCACCAAAAAATTGAGTAAATGAAAAATCATACCTTCTCAGAACCCTCTTCCCCAACTATTCAACCAGCTACACTCTGTTGAGCCTGCAAAACATTGTATTTCTTGCAGGGTAATGAGAGATTTTATCTTTGTGGCTAACATGGCAGGAAACTAAAAGTGAGACAAGCATAGAAAGATTCATTATTCAAACTCTAAACCAAGGGTAGTCAATAGGTGGACCATTGGCCCAATCCAAACCTCCAGACACTTTTGACCAGACCCTGAAATCTTTATTTACTTACTATCAATTTTTGTTGGTTTTTTATTATTATTTTCTCTTGAGTCTGGACCTCAACTGTACCTTGACTGAGAAAATTGGACCTTGACACAAAATAATTGACTATCCCAGCTCTAAACCATTCCAAGAGAGAATGCTGGAGCAATGCAAACCTCAGGCTTAGTGAGGGGTGTGTTTTGGTGGCTCCTGCAATGGAAGAGGGCAAAAAGGACAGGCTGCGTCCTGTGAGATTTCCGGCTCCATCAAGACTTCAGGATAGGCTTCGGTCTCCTGGGATTTGGCCAGTGATTTGGAGCCAGGAGATTTGGATTTAATAAAACCCAAGTGCTCAGAGCCACTTCCTGTTTGTTGGTTTCCAGTAGTCCACCCACCCTGCCTCAGCTACCTAGGTTCTTTGTGGGCTGTGCTAGTTGCCACTTTGGGGCTAGGAAGGATTTTTTCCCTGTACCACCAGACTGAGTGAAGCTGGTTGGTTTTATTTGTTTTTGTTTGCCTTCCTCCCAGTGAAACCTAGGGGTTGGATATTGGACAGCCAGAAGGCTGGAATTCTCCCCCTCCCAAAGGTCACAGCTTGGACCTGCAAGAGAGTCATTTAGTTGTTCCAACTTTTGGCAGGTGCCCAGTGCAGGAACTGGCTGATTTAGGCTCCGGATCCAAAAAGGTAATGCTGTAGGCATCCCAAGGGCATCTTCTTATGAGATGGGGGCATCATGTCTAACCCACTAGGAGCAAATGCAAACCAGTGGCCAGGGCACTACCTTGGTGGACTGCTCTGCCAACACACCTGGCAGCGGTGCTGGCTGGGGGTTGAGCTCCCTCCTTGCCTCAACCCCCAAAAGTGTGAGGGAGCTAGCAGGCAAGTAGAGCTCACAGAGACCCTCCTTGTGTGATGATTGGCTCCCCCTGTAGTGGAAGACTCCAAGGATTGGCAAATGTTCAAAGAGAAGTGAGTGACTGCTCTGGGCTGTCCCCCGATGAGAATCTTGGGTGTAATTTGACAAAGTTGCGGCCTGGTTAAAAATCCATACCACGTGTCCTTGCCTTCTTCCACACAGTGAGCATACCAAAAGACTTCTCTTTCAACTCTTGATTTCAATAGAATTATTCCTAGTTTACAGCAATGTAGGTAAAGGAGAATCGGGTCCATTAGTGCTGAAATAATGGTTAAATGTGGCAATGGAAGAAGCATAGGGATTTGTAGGCTTGGCCTTCCAAACATGATTTTTTCTTGTTTCTGTGCAGGTTATTTCTTCTGTACTGTTTCTGCCATCAGTCTTACTCCTCTTTATCCCAGGCACAGTGTGAACAGAGTAGAATGTTTTTTTACATTAAGCCCACTTGAAAATTAATTAATTTTTCGACATTTGAGAAATTCAGACTTCAGGACTCCGGGTGAGAGGGAGAATTAGACTATGTCTACACTACAGGTTATGTCAGTATAATGTATGTCGCTCAGAGGTGTGAATAAACCAGCCCCCTGAGCAATATAAGTTACACTGATATAAGCACTCAGGCTTCTCCTGCTGCCATAGCTTCTGCCGTTCGCGGAGGTGGTTTTATTATGCCGACGTGAGAGTGTGTTCACTCGATGTGCTGGAGCAGCGCAGCTGCATCCGTACAGCTATACTGCTGCAGCACTGTATGTGTAGACATGCCCTTAGTATGGTGGGGAACTTCCACATTACTGCAATATAATAGCTCTTGGGATATCACAGCTTTGGTGAAGCATGGCTGGATAACTTCTTAGGCTGTTGTCTTTCGTATTTAGTGCAGAAATGCATGTTTGTTTGCATCTTGCTGATTTTCTTGGAGATGAGTAGTTGCTGCAGAAAGTGGTGCTGGTGGTTCAGTAGGTAGCACTGTCCTCTCTGCGACCGTTCCAAACTGGTGCCCCGTCAGATATCTGGTCTCTATGATATTTTAGCCTAACAGCTAAAGGTTAGTTATCTGTATCTATTGTGCTAGGAAAGAGGTGTGCTGACAGAGAAGTGTCTAGGGCCATGTCTACACTAGCACTTCTGTCAGCAAAACTTTTGTCGCTCGGCGGGTGAAATAAATACCCCCTGAGTGACAAAAGTTTTGCCGCCATAAGCACTTGTGTGCAGAGTGCTATGTTGGCGAGAGACACGTTCCCGCTGACATAGCTACCACTGCTCGTTGAGCTGGTTTTATTATGTCGACGGGAGAGCTCTCTCCTGTCAGCATAACACGGCTACATGGGAGACCAGCTGTATCGGTACAGTTGTGCCACTGTAAGCTTGTAAGTGTAGACATAGCCTTAGACTTCTATTTTAGCTAGACTGATGTTTAATGCTCACTCTTTGAAATCTCTTTTCTGAGTTTATTAAACATTAATAGTTTTGTCAAAGCCAACCATGTGGGTGCCTAGTGATTTTGTTACGGTACCCAAAAAAGCCCAGCTTCCCCAGGTTTCTTTGTTACTAGAGGTGCTCTCTTTTTGGGTGAGGCATAAAACCAAGGTCTTGAGCTCTAGTAAATCTCGTGAATTTTCCAAGAATCGGAATACTGTATTATCTCAGGTGTCCCAGTCAAATTCCAAGTAGGTAATCACCTTCTTTCTACCTAAACTCCTCTGTCAGTTTTACTTGGACGTATGCATGCGTCAGTTCCTGCCCTACAGTATTATGGAGATTGGTGGTGTGTTCTGTTATATAGTTGTATGCAATGTTGTTGTAGCTGTGTCAGTCCCAGGGAGTCAGTCCCATTAGAGAGACAAGGTGGATGAGGTAATATTTTTATTGAACCAACTTCTTCTGGTGAGAGAGACAAGCATTTGAGCTTAAAAAAGCTTGTCGCTCTCACCAGCAGAAGTGGTCCAATACAAGATATTACTTCACGCACCTTGTCTCTCAAACAATTGCTTCGTTTCACTCCCAAGGTGGCTGTATTTAAAAGAATGAGTGAAATAATTCCTGTAGTTTTGTACTGTTGGTTGTTACATTTGTAAAGCACCCTCGGACTCATTTGGGTGACAGGACCTATAGAAATGCAGTATCATTATTCTGGGAAGTGCAATTAATGATATTTTCGTGCGGTGAAAATTCTGTTTCTATTTGTTCTTAAAGAATTGGAACTAGAGAGATCAACCAGATTCCTGGGGGGGAGATGTAATATTGTAACAACAATTCCATGATAAAAAGTAAATAATTCACTTTGAATATTGAAACAAGAGGTGCATATCTCAAACAACAGGAGGTAAGGGGAGTAGAATCATAGAAGTTTAGGGTTGGAAGAGACCTCAAGAGGTCATCTACTCCAACACCCTGCTCAAAGCAGGACCAACTCCAACTGAATCATCCCAGCCAGGGCTTTGTCAAGCTGGGCCTTAAAAACCTCTAAGGATGGAGATTCCACCACCTCCGTAGGCAACCAATTCCAGTGCTTCACCACGCTCCTAGTGAAATAGTTTTTCCTAATATCCAACCTAGACCTCCACCACTGCAACTTGAGACCATTGCTCCTTGTTCTGTCATCTGGCACCACTGAGAACAGCCTAGCTCCATCCTCTTTGGAACCCCCCTTCAGGTAGTTGAAGGCTGCTATCAAATCCCCCCTCACCCTTCTTTTCTAAATAAGCCCAGTTCCCTCACCCTCTCCTTCTAAGTCATATGCCCCAGCCCCCAATCATTTTCGTTGCTGTCTGCTGAACTCTCTGTAGTAGGGGGCCCAAAACTGGACGCAATTCTCCAGATGTGGCCTCACCAGTGCTGAATTAGAGAGGGATAATCACTTCCCTCCATCTGCTGGCAATGCTCCTACTAATGCAATCCAAAATGCCATTAGCCTGCTTGGCAACAAGGGCACACTATTGACTCATATCCAGCTTCTTATCCACTGTAATCCCCGTGTTCTTTTCTGAGAACTGCTGCTTAGCCAGTCGGTTCCCAGCCTGTAGCAGTACATGGGATTCTTCCATCCTAAGTGCAGGGCTCTGCACTTGTCCTTTTTGAACCTTATCAGATTTCTTTTGGCCCAGTCCTCCAATTTGTCTAGGTCGCTCTGGACCCTATCCCTACCCTCTAGCATATCTACCTCTCCCCCCATCTTAGTGTCATCTGCAAACCTGCTGAGGGTGCAATCCATCCCATCATCCAGATCATTAATGAAGATGTTGAACAAAGTAGAGTTGTCATTTAAGTTTTTTATGACTATTTCTTAAATACCATAAACTACTTTGTCACATTTTCTACAGTGTTACCACATGAGAGAGAATTTCATCATGCTGCTAAAATGAACAATTTGGAAACCATGGAGAACTTACTTAGGAAGAATGTTAACATTAATGCTGTAAATACTGTGAGTATAAAATACTGTATGATATTTTAATTACCAGAAATATGCCTTGTGTATGGTTGCTAAGTGAAATCTCAAAAGTACTAGTGTATTTGACTGCAAGAGGAGGAGTATAAAGATACCCTTGAAGAAAATTCTCTGCACAAGTAGTATTTCAGGTGTCCAGTTAAGTGCCCAAATCTTGTGAAGTGAAGAGTGCCCTCCACTTGCACTTAGCGAGAGTGTAGGGTGATCCGTAATTCATAGGTCTAGTGGTCAGTGTATAAGAGTGGGACCAGGAACTTCTGAGTTATAATCTTGATACTCTATGACCTTGGGCAATTAGTTTAACCTCTGCCTCAGTATCCCCATCTGTAAAATGGGTATACTTAACCTCACAGACATTTTTGGTTCTTGTGAAATGCTTTGCAGATTAAAATGCACATAAAGAGTTGTGCTGTTCAATGTGTGCTGCAACATGACTGCACTTGTATTGTGTGGCTACAAGGTGAGGTCAGAATTCAGACCTGGTGCAAGCAGATGGAACTCTATTGATATCAACAAGAGTTGTAGCCTTGTGGTGTAGATCTAAATTTGGACTAGAATATTCTACAGAAAGTGTTGCAACATTTCATGGAGAAGAACGTTAGTCCCATCCCGGAATAACAAAGAGTGGGCCTTTTTCCCCCTATAGTGCCTGCCCACCCACGGCAATTCACTCCCCTTAGGCAGCCCATTCAGGGGGTTCGTACAGATGGTTGCCAGCCTGCATCAAACATTTAGGTGTAAACTGTCTGACTTAGCGCATCCTATTACTTAATCACAAGTTCTGAAAAAAATGTGCCTCCTTTTCCACATGCTTGGTTTGAACAGGGGAAATAAGAGTACCTGCAGCTGGATTCCTGAGTCCTCCTTCAGAAAAGAAAGAGAAAAAGGATCCCTTTAAAATTACATTCTTTTGAATAAGAATATTGTTTCCATCAATACATACTGCTATTAATGGTACTCTGGACATGAAATTTTTGACAGCCCTGAGTAATGTAACTAGGTTGATCTCATTTTTAAGTGCAGACCACGCCTATTTCATATGGGCAGACCCACTGAACTCCTTCAGTTTATTTGCACGTGTAAAGTTATTCATTGAGGGTTGGAGGATGGAAACCTTTGTTTGCATAAACAACAGACCAAACTGAAATGGTGACTAATACCAAGTAAAAGGAGCATTTGAGTCGTGCATTACAGAGATAAAATCAAAAACAAATATGTAGCAACCAGGATATCATCAAGAAATAAATGGAATTACATAAATCTTAGGCCTGGTCTACAGCTATTGCAGAGCACTCGTGGTATAGATATCACCTAAATCTTTGCTTTTAAAATCAAACAGTAAAATAGAAATTGTGAAAATGAATGTTTTCTGCATAGCATATCTCCTCTTTCTAAGCAGTGTGTGTTTAGTAAAGCCCTGTTAATGACACGTTAGTGAGTTGCAGTGAATGGATTAGAATGGCACATAAATACCTAATGTACTCTGGTTCTACTAGATTTCATTAAACACAGTATTTAATTTAGATACAAGGGAACAGAAATACAGATAATGGCAAATGTTGGCTAGAGAATGTGCAAATGAATGTGTATTGGTGAGCTTTGATCAGAGGATTCAGAAATCCTGATAATTTGTGTAATAAAAATAATTATATTACATACCTATCCACCCAGGCTTGTTTTATTTCAGCTGCAGCGCACAGCTCTCCATTTTGCTGTGGCAGGAAATCATGTGTCTACTGTGGATTTTCTTCTCCATCACAAAGCTAGAGTGGATGTTGCAGATAAGGTAAGCAAACCACTACTGTCAGATCAAAAAACATGGTCTGAACCCTTGGCTGCTACAGTTGCAACAGCACAGCACAGCACAGGAGAGGTATCTGTGTGTGTGTAAAGGTGATTTAATGCCATCAGTGCAGTTCCCCAATCCTGGGGTGGGTGTGTCCCAGTTTGGATCTCTCTGTAAATTAGAGCAGCTGTTAGACTGTTCTCATTTACACCACCAGTAGCCCCAACGGGCTGACAAAGCAACCAGGGATCACTGGAGAACAGATAACCACTGGCCATGTCCCCTTTCCTCCAGCACACCACCCCTCCTCTGGCAGCTGAGAGGGGAGTAGTATAGTAGTCACTATGCTGTCTCTATGCCCTCAAAGGACTCCCTGCACTGGGGTGGATGGCTAGATTATGTCAGTTTTAGAGCCACTTTGGCCGGCAGTATGAGGCAGAGTGGCTGCAGCACAGTGGGAGATCTGGCCCATATACTAATGAAGCAAAACTCCTTATGGATTAGTAAGAGTGAACAGATTTCAAAGGGAAAGAGTTTTTAAAATGCAATTCACTTTTCACCAGATATGCTGTTTGTTTACTTTTTGTACTTCATTCTGTTTGGATATGATGCAAATAGATTAGCCATTTTGAATTTTGTTTCGGTTTGTTTAACTGTCTTCCCATAACTAATACAGTGCTGTAATGTTTGACTGAAGGGAAATGTATACATCCAAACAGCTGGGTTACAAGTTATGACTTGTAATTCATGACAATATTTCTATGAATAATTAGGTGGTGTAATTTTTAAAAAATAAAACTGACATTTAGGTATAAACTGTCTCTGTCCTTCCTTCTAGAATTTCTCATTCCTGTTTAAGGGCCCAGTAGAGAGGTTTTGGAGTTCTTAAAACATTATATTAGAGATATTTTTGTGAAAATTCTAGAAATATTTATACCCTTTTCATGCAAGACTTCTCCTGTTTTATACTTTTTTTTCTAAACTAAAACTAAACCATCGCTAAAAAGAATTTACAGTGCAATCCTGATTACGGGTGAGATTAACAGGGTGGCTGGGCCATTAAGAGGAATGGGGCTCAGTGAATCTGTTCCTGTCCAGGTGCTCCCAGTTGGGCCACTTAAGAGGGCGGGGCAGCACCTAGGATACTCTGTCTAATGAGACCCAGTGCATCAGAACAGACAGAATTAGTCAGGAGACAGAGCAGGAGATGAGAGCTATCAGAGAAAGAAGGTGCTCCCTGGGAGAGGATGAAGGCAGGAGATCCACAAGGAGATTGCTGGCTGGCATTCCCAAGCTAGAGAGCCAGGGCTGGAGAGCGCTAAAGGCAGGCGAAACAGTAGAGTGAGATCCTGTTGACTCTGTGACAGAGGGCTGGAGCTAAGGGCCAAAGAGGCTGAAGGAAGGGAGAGAAGTAGAGGAAATTACCTGCTGGTATGTCCTTGCTGGAGAGCTGGGGCCCAGAGGAACAATAAGAGGCTCTCAGCAAAGAGGCTGTGGAAGTTCCCACTGGGAAGAGTGGGGTTGTACCCCAGAAGGAGGGTTAGGGTGGCTGTGTTGATAGAGGAACAAAGGAGGACTAACAAAGAGTCTGGGTGTGGCAGAGGACACTGGAAAGTGGTATGTGTAAAGTGAATAACCAAGAGGATATATGATTTTTAAGGCTTACTTGAACTGGGGTGATATGGACTATTCTTGGAGACTTTTGTATTGTGTTTGGTAAATAAATTATGTTATGGACTTGAGTGTGTGCTTCTGTGGAATTACTGAGAAGCCAAAAGGGAAAATGAGGCAAAGGGCTACTTGCAAGGTTACCCTGAGACCACAATGAGACAGCTGGTTGTGAGTTAGGAGGGAAAATAATTATCTGTCAAATATGTGAATACTTCTTTGTGTGACCTATCTCTTCCACAGTATGTGATATTCATAAGCTTCAAAAAAAATGCCATGGCAGGGCATGTTCCAGGGTATGTTAGATATTGTAGAATACTTTAATTTGAAGGCAGTGAAGTGTCCCAAAGGGAGAAAGGAGGCTGCCTGGCATATGGGCTACTGTGTTACGTCACACAAATGCTGGCTCTGTGTTGCAAACGGGAATCCAGATTAAGGCAGCGAGGGGAAGAATGGGGTGATTAGTTTGATCAGGAAAAAGTGCCAAGATGTCACTCTTTTGTAGCCCCATTTCACCTGTTTTTTTGTTACTATTGCAGACCTTGGCAATACAACTGCTTTTTGTTCTGCAGAGCGTTCTGCTCCATTGAAGTCTATGGAAGTTTTGCCCTGGACTTCAACTGAGGCAGGATTGGGCTTCTATAGTCCTAGGTTAAAAATGTATGTGCAGTCTACAAAGTGGATTTATCACAACTATCCTTGTAGCTTTAGGCACTGGGGCATGTGAAAGCAACTATATTTAATTAAAGCTATATATAAAGAACAATAGAAACACTCGGAAGTGAACAAAGAGCCAGCGCAAATTGGTGCTTCCCATCGCTAATATCGCACTGTGCTCCAGCTATGGCTTCTGAGTGGTCTTTAAAGAGTAGCCCCATGTGCAGTGTTATACAGTGTTCCAGTGGAGGTCGAAAGGCATGAATAACTGTTATAAGGTCTTCATTCAAGAGAAACAGTTTGTGTGAGATGTTGATGGAAAAAGTCACTTGTGCCACCAAGTCCACCTGGGACTCCAGAGCAAATGAGGCTCCAGAAGGACCCCTAAATTGTGTACCTCTTTGACAAAGGCTTGGATAAACACCAGCTCAGTTAAGGAGGCAGACGCTATCCCTACCATGTCCTTCAGATGTTCTCCTCCAATCAACCAATATCCCTTCCATCCTGTCTGGTTTGAGTTTTGGCCAGTTCGCTCTACTCCAAACCCCCTACCTTGGCCAGGCACTGGAAAAACAAAGATAATGTAGCCTTTGGGCTCAGTGAGAGAGAGACCTGGTGCTCAGTGTCCTCTGCATACTGATATCTGCGCCTTCCAAACTGTCTCTCCCAGTCGGCATATGTACAGTACAGGAGAGGTGAGACAGAACAGAATCCTGCAGAGCCCCATGAGGAAGAGACTTTAGCATGGTGGAGCAATTAACCTAGACCACCTGCAGGGATCTTTTTGAAAGGTAGAGCTGAAATCACCTGAGCAATATTGTCCACTGCTGCCAGGGTCTGCAACTGAGTTAACTTTTATACATCCCATAGTCTTTGACTTGTACTACAGCTCAGAGATTTCCTTATTGTGAATCACTTGCAAGCAGGGCTGGGAAACTAAACAGAGTTACCATTTAGAAACTTAAATATTTATAGCAGGGGTCGGCAACCTACGGTGTCGGCTGCCAAACCCAGGCCGGCAGCGGGCTGAGTGGGCTGGCGGCTGGGACCCCGGCAGGCAACAGCATGCCATTAAAAATCCTGCCCGCCCCGGCCCACTCTTCTCCACCCGGCCCCCACGGAGGCAGGGTGAAGAAGCTCCCGCCTCCCCTGCCTCTTCCCCCAGCGTGCTGGGTTCCTGCCCCTACCCCCCTCCTCTCCCTCCCTGCCGCCGATCAGCTGATGGCCCTTGCGAGGGAGGGGGAGAAATGGAGCAGCAGCCTGTTCACTGCTCTGGGGAGGGGAGGAGGCAGAGAAAAGGCAGGAGCGGGGCCTTGGGGAAGGGAGGTGGAATCGGAGCATATCCCCTCCAGCCCCCTGCCGTGAGCCGCTCTGGGTAGGGAGGTGGGAGCATCCCCAGGATCCTAGCCAACACCCTCTGCCCTGACCCCTATACCACCAACCCCCACACCCAGTCCTCTGCCCTGACACCTGCACCCCCCCACCCACACCCAGCCCTCTGCCCTGACCTTTGCACTCCCCTCACACCCAGCACTATGCCCTGACCCCTGCACACCCCATGCCCTGACTCTTACACCCCCCACATTCCCACCCCCCACCCTGAGCACCAAATGGGAGCACCTGCGCACACACACTCACCCCCCCACATTCCCACCTGCACCCCTCGCACCAAATGGGAGCTGCCCAGGTAAGCACTCCACACCAAACCTCCTTCCCCAACCCTGAGCCCCCTCCCTCATTCTAGCTCCTGGCCAGACCCTCCATCCCAACCCCCAGAAGCCTGCTCCTTCACTCCCAGCCCTGTGTTCAGTGCACTCCCACCCTCCGCTCAGTGCAGAGAGAGAGGAAGAGAATGGCTAGAACCAGGGAGAAGGTAGGTACCCACTCTATGTGAGCAGGGCTGAGATCCCAGACGGGCAGCGGGCTGAGCGGGGCTGGCAGCTGGGACCCTGGCTGGCAGGAGCCGCTCAGCCCACTGCCAGTCTGGGGTCCCAACCGCAGGCCCCGCTCAGCCTGCTGCCGGCCTAGGTGAACGGAAGCCCAGGCTGGCAATGGGCTGAGCTGGGTAAGATCAGCATTTTAGTTTAATTTTAAATGAAGTTTCTTAAACATTTTGAAAACCTTGTTTACTTTCCATATGACAATAGTTTAGTTATATTATATATAGACTTAGAGAGAGAGACCTTCTAAAAATGTTAAAATGTATTACTGACACGCAAAACCTTAAATTAAAGTGAATAAATGAAGACTCGGCACCCCACTTCTGAAAGGTTGCCGACCCCTGATTTATACCATCAGGAAAGACAATTAAGTAAGTCTTATCATTCTGAACCCAAAATGTTCATAGCGAATTAGCCATGTGATTGTACCTTTTTTTTGTCTGACAAGCTGAAAGCCGCATGTATGATTTATATGAAAAGTTCTAAAATGACTACAGCTGTAATACATAACCTTAACAGATCAATTTTATAAGTGGTGGACAGCTGGCTTTGAACAATAATCCTCCATAACAATGACTAAGGGACTGCCTATACTGCAGTCATGAGGTGTGATTGCAGCACATGTAGATGTGCCTAAGTCAGCTTTGAACTAGCTAGATCACAACTAGCTGGAGTAACAATTGCAGGGTAGCTGCAGTGGCACGGACTAGCCGCTTAAGGGTATACCCTGGGCAGGGTTGTACTCGGGAGGCTAGCCTGTGCCACCACCCTTGCTGCTGCAGCTACACTGCTGCTGTACTCAAGCTAGCTATGATCTATGGTAATAGGGTTATATCGATAATACTGGACCCAGGATGTACGTTTGCAGGACCCAAATAGATACATTCTCCCAGTTTGGCAGTGAACCATTAATAAGTACTCACTGAGTACAGTCTTTCAACCAGTTGTGCACCTACCATATAGTAACTTCACCTGAACCACATTTCCCTAGTTTGTTTATGAGAATGTCATGTGGGACTGTGTCAAAAGCCTTAGTAAATCAGATATACCACATCTACAACTCTGTCTGCCATTCAGTAGGCCAAACCTGACAAAGAAGGAAATTAGGTTGGTTTGGCATGAGTTGTCCTTGCTTAATCCTTAAAATCCTCTAGGTGTTTACAGACTGATTTTTTTAATAATTGGTTCCAGTATCTTCCCAGATGTTGGAGTTAGGCTGACTGGTCTATAATTTCCCAGGTCCTCTTTGTTCCCCTTTTTGAAGATAGGTGCTATGTTTGCTCTTTTCCAGTCTTCTGGGACCTTACCTGTCCTCCATGAGTTCTTGAAGATAATCCCTAATATATATAATTGTAATGTATATTAATTCCAAGTTTGTATCTTCTGTATTTGTATAACTTATATCTAAATTGTATTAAGCTATCGTCAGTGGTAAACTATTTCCAATATTCTCTCTCTGAGCTTTTTTTAAAGTATATTTAAGCAATAAAATAATTTTATGGGATCATTAACATTTTTGGGTGCATCATAAGGCTGTGGAATTACAAAGGTGTATGCTAGTTGCCTCATTAAACATGCCCCTCAGTGTCTTGTTCTGATTATAACTAGGCTTGGAAGGATTAGGTTTTAATTAATTTAATTAGTAAATGTTGGTAATCCCCTAGTTCTCCCTCCACTGAAAACCCTATGGAAATATTTTCCCCATCGTTATTAATTGAAATTTAAAATCTGTATAATGTAATGCGCTTGCAGATAACTCATACACTCTTTGGCAGTCAGTTGTAGCTTGCAATTAATAAGAAATGCTATGATATATCAAACATTCTGACTTTGTTTCTGAATCTGGTATGAATTTCATCTTCATTCTATTCCAAGTAAATAAAATTCCAAATAAATAACAGTAGGGTCCAAGGTGTTCTTAAAAATCATTGTTTGTGCAAAATTTAAGTTGGGGGGGGGGAAATTAAAACCTCGGAAATAAACATAATATTGTTCTTCATTTTTCAGCTTACCTGTTAAAAATGATACATTTAAAAGCATTTTTCCTTTTTATTCTACTTACTAGTCCACTATGGAAATAATGTCTAATACTATGTCTGTGGAGATGACACAGTGTGTTCTGGCTTTATTCCTGGAATTACAACATCTAGAAAGTATTATTGCAGGTGGGGGGAATAATGCCGCAGGCAGTTTAACATTTCTCACATTACACCAGCCACCTCTAAAGTACAGCTGTGTTCAGAGAGGTAGATTCCAGAAATGACTAAAGACACACTTTAAGGACTCCATCTTGCAAACATTTAATCACATGTTTAACTCTGAGCACGCAGGTAATCCTGCTGAAGTCAAGCACATGCACACATTTTGCAAAGATGGGGACTTTTATGATTAAAGTGTCTTTTTTTTTTTTTTTTTTAAACAGGGATAATGTCCCTAACCTCTGTTTGCCGGAAGCTGGGAATGGGCAACAGGGGATGGATCACTTGATGATTCCCTGTTCTGTTCATTCCCTCTGGAGCACCTGGCATTGGCCACTGTTGGAAGACAGGATACTGGGCTAGATGGACCTTTGGTCTGACACAGTATGGCCGTTCTTATGTAATCCTGTATTCTAACTGAGCTCCTTTTGAACAGTATGGTGTGAAATTGTGAGGTTTGTAAAACTCCTTTTAAAAAAAATTAAGCTTTCTTCTGCTCCCATGTTTGTTTAGAAAGGTCTTTGTGAGCCACAATCCCACCCGTCTACCCCCTTTCTTTACGTGTGCACGGTGGGTGATGCTTGTTCCACATTCACTTTCAGCTCTGTTGCTGCTGTTCATTGTTGTTTAATATTTATATTACAGTAGCACCCCGAGGCCCCAGTCACAATCAAAGACCTATTATGCTGAATGCGGTACCAACACACATGAAGACATAGTCCCCGCATCCTATTGTAGACTCTAGGGGAGAAGGTATACCATCAACAATATAGTGAAACTAACTATACACAAATGTACTAAGTTGACAACTGGGGAATAAATAGGATAAAATAATTGCTTTTCTCTAATTTCTACGCTAGCCTTTTTAATATCAACTGTAACAAAGGCAGGTACAACATTTTCAGATAGAAATGTGATTTTCAATTTGGTGGTGATAATCACGTTGTATGAAGGATATCTCTATGGCAGGGGGAGCATAAGTATAATAGCAAATCGCTACACACATCTGGTCAAAATTCTGAGTCCAGAGGTCTCCACAGTAGGTCCCTTGATTCTGATTGTCCCTGTGTCCTATTCACCTGTACTGCTGAAACAGGCTTGTTTAATCTCTTAGTTCCTTGGCTGTATGGCTCTGGAGGACTTTAACAGTCCTCTTGTGTATCCTGGCTTGCCTTTATTCTCACTGACTTCAGAGAACTAGGATCACAGATTGAGGAACAAGTAGCCAGGTTTGCTTTGCAGAGAGGAGATGGAGTGGGATTGTGACAGGGAACAAGAGGTAGGACTGAACAGAGAGAGGTTGGTGGGAGGACATAGCCATTAAGCAATTGCCTTATTGTTTCTCCATACTCCCCCGACTGTCTGTATCCATCGGTTGTGTCTTGTTTTATACTTAGATTATAAACTCTTTGTGGCAGGGGCTGTCATTTTGTTGTGTGTCTGTCCAGCACCTAGAACAATGGGTCCTTGTCCTTGATTGAGGCTCCAGTATAAATAATAATAATGCCAATAAAGGAAGAGAGATGGGGGATCCAAGGAGGACAAGAGACAGAATACCTATGAGAATGGTGCAGAGATAGAGAGATTAGGAGCTCCTGATGTGTATTCCTTTGGTGGGAGTTGAGGAGGAGGCTCAGAGAGAGAGAGAGAGCCCAAAGAGGTTTATCAGAGATGAAGAAATGCAGGACAAAGGAATGAAAATGAAAGGAGGTAACTTTTATTCACCTGGAAAAATTATGGCTATGTTATTCACAGTTAGTCCCTCAGTGTCTGGGAATAGTGTTAACAGGGGTGCCCTAGAGCCTGTGTCATTGAGTCAGCTCAGCACATTAATCATATAAGATCATACAGTGCAATTTGAATAGTAGTCTGGGATATTTTAATGGTAATGTTTGCCTTTTTCATTTTATTTTAAGCACGGGTTGATGGCGATTCATCTTGCAGCTTGGTCTGGAAACCTAGGCATAATGCGAATGTTAGTTAAAGCAGGTGCTGACCAAAAGGCTACAAACCAGGTTTGTTGATGACAAATTTAAACCAACACTAAACATATTCATCTTGAGAAGAAGTATAATGTAATCTTATAGAACTGGCTTGTGTTTTCCTTAGGAGGGAAGGAATGTCCTGCATTTTGCAGCTCTGAACAATAACGTTGACATAGTGGATTATCTTCTCCAGGAACTTCAACTGAAGGACCTAAACAAGCAAGATGAGGTACAGTATGTGTCTAGTTACTTACAAAGTATAGGGGCTTGTTTCCTTCACATTGTGAAGTGAAGTACAATATGACCTGCATCACACAGAGACTCCTTGGATTTTCTGGAGTGTCAGGGACAGACCTGAACTTTTTCTGATTAGCCCTTTGCCTTGCTGTGTCAGGATCCCACATTGCGGGCTTACCTAGCCAAGTGGTGTATTTTTATCTTTGCACACGAGAATGTAGTCATCTAGGATCTGATCATGTCAGGTGCTGAACTCCCACATCTTCCTTTGAAGCTAATGGGCCATAATAATCTGATTGTGCAAGGTTCTAAGCACCCTCAGTTTGCACTGAGGTATCTTTGGGCAGGTTATTCCATAATTGTCTGTTTTGGAGTTTTATGCATCTCGCTCTGAAGCATCTATCTATCCCATTGGTGGCTGGCTAGATGGCCTGATCTGGAAAGGCAATTCCCACAGTATTGTTTCAGGAGAGTTTGCTAGGACTCAGTTGTAAATACTATGGTGGGTTAAGATGAATAAAAATTCTCTAATTCCCTCTCCACCTTCTACACCCCTCTTGATTTCAGAGGTATCTAGAGCTGGCTCTGTTTTCAAAATTCTGGTCACATACAGCATATAATAAAAATAATATTTTTTTGGACTTTTAGAGTGCCTCTTTCTGAGGAGCTCAAATGATTTACAAACAGTAGTGAAATAATCTTTCCAACCAATATTTGCATCTCAGGAAGATGTAATAGCTAAATATTAAATATTTGAAGAACAGCTTCTGTTTCTAGTGTTGTTATTTCAGGATTTCTGGTCAGTTTACAAATGTTTTCTTTAAAGTATTTAATCCAGATTTTACACTGAAGACATTTTACTTCTTTTTCCCCTTCATGGGTGGATCTAGACTCCAGTTTTTTGTTTACCTGTGCATATGACATGTAAATGTTTATTCACAATATATGTGCACCTACATATGACCTGGCTTTTCTAATAATTGGTGAACTTTCTGCAACAGAGTGACTTTTTATTTGATTATTTCCTATTAGAAAGGTAAAAGGGCATTTCTTCTGGCAGCTGAAAAAGGCCATGTTGAAATGATATACAGTCTGATTTCTCTCAAGCTGTTCACCTCTGAAAAAGATAAGGTAAGCCTCCCCTTTCCATACAAATCCAGATAAAGTGTGCTTAAGAGTCATAACTGTCCCCAGTGTAGTTACTTGTGTAACTAAAGGTCATAAACGCATACACAGTGTTCGGATACCATGGTACTGGATGTGGTATACAAAATGTAGACAGACGAGCACAGTGATTTTCAGTAATCCAGAGAGAATAGTGGAGCTGTCAGTAATTATTGCCAGCAAGGTTTTGTATGCATATTAGTAGGACATGTGATGCAATCTGAAGTTAAGCTTTCTAATGCTTGGAGAGGAAGGACGGTCTAGTGCCTAGCCTAGGACTTGGGAAACTTGGGTTCAGTTCCGTGCTCTGCTGCAGACTTCCTGTGTGACCTTAGGCAGGTCCCACAGGGCCAGATTTTCAAGGCATTTAGGTACCTAATGATGCAGAGATGTCTAGGAGTGTAACTCCCATTGATGTAACTTTTGGAAACCACCGGGTGACGTCTGCATCTTTTAGGTGCCCAAACAACTTTAAATATCTGGCTCTTAGTCTCCTTGTGCCTCAGTTGCCCATCTGTAAAATGGGGTAACAACACTCCCCTGCCTCAGAAACTATGGAAATGGGGGCCCTATGAGTACTTTGGATAGATAAGTATCCATTAGCTTACATTCCAAACAGAAAATGCCATAATGGTGAGGGAGGAGAAAGCTGTATATAACATGCAAGCAGGGTGATGGGTGGCCAATGCTATGTTAGCTCTGTGAGCTGCTTTTAGTTGTTTTCCTTTTTTTAATTTTATATAGTAGGGGATGGTGTCAGCAAGGGGAAGATGACTACACTGACTTCAATTAAGCTATGCCTAATTACACAAGATCAGGTTTTGGCCCTTAATCTTTACATTGTTTTTCAAGGGACTGTGGGCTAGCCCAGTCCCCTTCCATGGAGAAACCTATGGAAAAAACTCACTGGCAGTTCCAAGATTTACTTCATGGATTTTCTTCCGAATTGTCCATGCGGGGAATGGGGGTTTGTCCCCTGGTAGAATAGGTAAGAATTTCAGGCCTTTACATCAACAGATGTCCTGAGAAGTGGAGGGAAATTGAAGAGATATTGAGACATCCATTAAATCCTCAGAGCTCCTTTCCCTCTTGTTAGCATGGCTTCCTCTGTGTACACATGGAAGGACTTCCTTAGAATTAGGGCTGTGTCAGAACATTCTGTAAAGCTGCTTCTTTTTTGTCTGTCACATGAGGAGGTGGTTTCACTAGGTTTGCATCCCTTCTGTACATGCTGGAGGAAGAGACCATAGGACCTTGTGTTAAAGTACTTGTCCACAGTCCGTAGGTGGTTGTTTTTATTAATTGCAGCATGTTCTACTTAATTTGGGATTTACAGTATGTTGGTGGCTGTTTTCATTTACAGGAGGGAAACACAGCAGTGCATCTAGCTGCTAAAAATGGTCACTGTGAGGTGCTAGAAGTTCTGCTAAATCAATGGGAAGAAATAAATGAACTCAATCAGGTAAGGACACAGAAGCTGCAGAGGGAGATAAAGAATAAAGGTAAAAGGTGCAAGACAAAGTGAAAACAAAGTTTTAAAAAAAATACCCAGAACCTACAAATATCTGTAAATGGAATCTCATTTCTGTGGTGGTCAAGCTAATCAGCACAAAGCTCGAAACCACCAAGATCCCTTTAGACCTAGAGCTCCGTTAAAGAGGAATGACTAGTAAGCTATAGTCTTTCTCAAGTTTTCTGATTGGAATCCAACCCAGGTCAGTAGTGTCTGAAAGACGCTATCTGTTGGCCAATTTGTGGTGCATCTGAAATGAATTGGTTGGATCAGTCCAATTCCTAATGGAATGTGCATCACAGAAAACTCTCTGACAGCTTGAACTCCATGTTGTAGTCTCAGTGGAGAGGTCCTAGACTAAACAGACACAAAGGCTTCACTCCTAGAAGTGGTCCCTTCTGATGTGGATTACTACCTCCCCAAACCACAGTAGGTAGGTTGATGGAAGCATTCTTCTAGCAGCATAGCTTGGGGTAAGATTGACATAGCTAGGTTGGCTGGGAGCGGGGCGGGGGAGTGGGGGTGTTTTTCCACAAGTTAGGGGTGTCAACCTAACTTTCAAGCATAGCCCAAAGCTGAATTCCGTTGGCAGAGTACTGTGAGTGGAGTGCTGCTCTCTGGGTTGTATTTACCTGCTCTGTTCTGTGGATGGATAGAGAACTTCCGCCTCCACGGTTGTCAGGGTGGTGCCTTTCACAAACACTAAATTTACTAAAAGAACAATAAAAAAAAATCACCCAGAGTTCAGGCGCAATAGAGCTAGAAATTTTTAATACCGCAGTGAATGCGGTGATTTGAAATAAGCATAGGTAGTCCATAAAAGAGCAGAATGTAGTTTTATTTTAAAGACCCACTAAGGCTTGGTGGTGGTGGTAGTGGTGGTTTAATGTAATCGTGTCCTGAGGATTACGGCTCTTTTTAACTGGTGCCAAAATCAAGGACATACAAACTCATGAAGCTGGATTAGCCAAAACTATAGTTTCTAGCATTTGTGATCTGTGCTTCATGGGTCACAAATGTAATGATAATGTTTTACTATAGGAGTCAGTCATTGCAAGCTGTTGTAACACTGTATTAGCACAGGTTTTTTTTTTTAAACACAAGAACGCATTAAAAATATTTAGTAGCTTGTCTATATTTTTGACACATTAGATAAAGGATAAATTTGTGTTAGAAATGTTTGTTGTTAAGTACCATTGTATCTGAATGCTAATATTGAATTATTCAGATTACAGTAAAAGCTGTTTCAGAGTAGCAGCCGTGTTAGTCTGTATGCGCAAAAAGAAAAGGAGGACTTGTGGCACCTTAGAGACTAACAAATTTATTTGAGCATAAGTTTTTGTGAGCTATAGCTCACTTCATTGGATGCATGCAATGGAAAATACAGTGGGGAGATTTTATATACACAGAGAACATGAAATGATGGGTGTTACCATACACACTGTAACGAGAGTGATCAGGTAACAGCAGGAGAGAAAAAACACCTTTTGTAATGATAATCAAGGTGGGCCATTTCCAGCAGTTAACAAGAACATGTGAGGAACACCAGGAGGGGGGGAGATAAACATGGGGAAATAGTTCTACTTTGTGTAATGAAACATCCATGCCCAGTCTTTATTCAAGCCTAAGTTAATGGTGTCCAGTTTGCAAATTAATTCCAATTCAGCAGTCTCTCATTGGAGTCTGTTTTTGAAGTTTTTTTGTTGAAGAATTGCCACTTTTACGTCTGTAATCGAGTGACCAGAGAGACTGAAGTGTTCTCCGACTGGTTTTTGAATGTTATAATTCTTGACGTCTGATTTGTGTCCATTTACTCTTTTACATAGAGACAGTCTAGTTTGGCCAATGTACATGGCAGAGGGGCATTGCTGGCACACGATGGCATATATCACATTGGTAGATGTGTAGGTGAACGAGCCTCTGAGAGTGTGGCTGATGTGATTAGGCCCTATGATGGTGTCCCCTGAATAGATATGTGGACACAGTTGGCAACGGGCTTTGTTGCAAGGATAGGTTCCTGGGCTAGTGGTTTTGTTGTGTGGTTGCTGGTGAGTATTTGCTTCAGGTTGGGGGGCTGTCTGTAAGCAAGGACTGGCCTGTCTCCCAAGATCTGTGAGAGTGATGGGTCGTCCTTCAGGATAGGTTGTAGATCCTTGATGATGCATTGGCGTTTAGTTGGCGTTCTGTTGTTTTCTTTGTTGGGCCTGTCCTGTAGTAGGTAACTTCTGGGTACTCTTCTGGCTCTGTCAATCTGTTTCTTCACTTCAGCAGGTGGGTATTGTAGTTGTAAGAACGCTTGATAGAGATCTTGTAGGTATTTGTCTCTGTCTGAGGGGTTGGAGCAAATGTGGTTGTATCGTAGAGCTTGGCTGTACACAATGGATCGTGTGGCGTGTTCTGGATGAAAGCTGGAGGCATGTAAGTAGGAATAGCGGTCAGTAGGTTTCCGGTATAGTGTGGTATTTATGTGACCATCGCTTATTAGCACTGTAGTGTCCAGGAAGTGGATCTCTTGTGTGGACTGGTCCAGGCTGAGGTTGATGGTGGGATGGAAATTGTTGAAATCATGGTGGGATTCCTCAAGGGCTTCTTTTCCATGGGTTCAGATGATGAAGATGTCATCAATATAGCGTAAGTAGAGTAGGGGCATTAGGGGATGAGAGCTGAGGAAGCGTTGTTCTAAATCAGCCATAAAAATGTTGGCATACTGTGGGGCCATGTGGGTACGCATAGCTGTGCCACTGATTTGAAGGTATACATTGTCCCCAAATGTGAAATAGTTATGGGTGAGGACAAAGTCACAAAGTTCAGCCACCAGGTTTGCCGTGACATTATCGGGGATACTGTTCCTGACAGCTTGTAGTCCATCTTTGTGTGGAATGTTGGTGTAGAGGGCTCATCCATAGGGCAGATGGTTTTTCAGAAGATCATCGATGGATTGAAAAAGAAAAGGAGTACTTGTGGCACCTAAGACTAACCAATTTATTTGTGTGTGGTTCCTCACTGCATGGGGTGGGGAAAGTGTGGGAGAAACCCACCTCCCCCCCTGCTGGTATAACTTATCTAAAGTGATCACTCTCCTTACAATGTTATGATAATCAGTCCATTTCCACACAAACCAGGTTTTCTCCCCTCCCCCCACACACAAACCACACACAAACCCACTCTCCTGCTGTGTGTGGTTTGTGTGGGGGGGGAGGGGAGAAAACCTGGATTTGTGCTGGAAATGGCCCAACTTGATTATCATACACATTGTAAGGAGAGTGATCACTTTAGATAAGTTATTACCAGCAGGAGAGTGGGGTGGGGGGAGGTATTTTTCATGCTTTGTGTGTATAAAAAGATCTTCTACACTTTCCACAGTATGCATCCGATGAAGTGAGCTGTAGCTCACGAAAGCTTATGCTCAAATAAATTGGTTAGTCTCTAAGGTGCCACAAGTACTCCTTTTCTTTTTGCGAATACAGACTAAGATGGCTGTTACTCTGAAACCGATGGATTGTAGTTCCTTCAGGCAGTCAGTGGTGTCTCGAAGATAGCTGGGAGTGCTGGTAGCGTAGGGCTTGAGGAGGGAGTCTACATAGCCAGATAATCCTGCTGTCAGGGTGCCAATGCCTGAGATGATGGGGCGTCTAGGATTTCCAGGTTTATGGATCTTGGGTAGCAGATAGAATACCCCCTGCTCTGAGTTCTAGGGGTGTGTTTGTGCGGATTTGTTCTTGTGCTTTTTCAGGGAGTTTCTTGAGCAAATGGTATAGTTTCTTTTGGTAACCCGCAGTGGGATCAGAGGCTTGTAGAATGTGGTATTGGAGAGCTGCCTAGAAGCCTCTTGTTCATATTCCGACCTATTCATGATGACGACAGCACCTCCTTTGTCAGCCTTTTTGATTATGATGTCAGAGTTGTTTCTGAGGCTGTGGATGGCATTGTGTTCTGCACGGCTGAGATTATGGGGAAAGTGATGCTGCTTTTCCACAATTTCAGCCCATGCACATCAGCGGAAGCACTCTATGTAGAAGTCCAGTCTGTTGTTTCGACCTTCAGGAAGAGTCCACCCAGATTCCTTCTTTTTGTAGTGTTGGTACACAAAGTAAAACTATTTTCCCGTGTTTATTCCCCTACCCCATCCCCGCTGTTCCTCACACGTTCTCGTCGTCTGCTGGAAATGACCCATCTTGATTATCACTACAAAAGGATTTTTCCCGCCCCGTTCTCCTGCTGGTAATAGCTCACTGTATTTTCCACTGCATACATCCGATGAAGTGAGCTGTAGCTCATGAAAGCTTATGCTCAGATAAATTTGTTAGTCTCTAAGGTGCCACAAGTTCTCCTTTTCTTTTTTTTAGTAAAAGCTGTGTTATCCAGCACTTTATCAACTAGAAAGCTTTATAACCTGCATTTCTGATCTTCAATAGAGTCCGGTTGGTGCAGGGCCAGCTGGCTCCCTACCTGGCTCTGTGTGGCTCTCCGGAATCAGCGACATGTCCCTGCTGCTCCTAGGCAGAAAAACGGCCAGGGAGGTTCCTTGTGCTGCTCCTGCTCCATCCTGCTCCGAGCGCTGGTTCTGCAGCTCCCATTGCCCAGGAGCCACAGCCAATGGGAGCTGCGGAGGCGGCGTCCACAGGTGGAGGAAGCGCGCAGAACCGCCTGGCCGTGCCTCTGCCTAGGAGCATTAAGGACATGTTGCCGCTTGTGGGGAGCCGCCTGATGTGAGTGCTGCCTGGATCCAGCACCCCGTACCCCAGTCCCCTGCCCCGAGACCCCTCCTGCACCCAAACTCCCTCTTTGTTAACTTGAATTTTTGACTAACTGGCACCCCCATTGCCCCAACATGCTGGATAGCAAAGCTTTTACTCTATTGACATTTGTGACCAAATCTTATTTTCCCTTTACACTGTATCAGTCTGGTTAAGCTTGCATACCACCTGTACCAAATATCATGCTGTAATAAATCAGCTTTACAATTGCACAGTTTGAATTTGAACAAACATTTTTCTCTTTCATTGTGTTGGGCCAGAATGGAGAAACACCATTTTATTTGGCTGTTGAAGGAGATCATGAAAAATGTGCTGAGCTGTTACTGGAAGCAGGAAGTGACATCAACATTTCAAATAAAGTACGGACTTAATATTCCCTCTGGCATATTATCAGGACATCATAGACTCTACAAAGATCCACATCCTGTCTGCTCTCTATGTGGCAAATAGGCAAATGTGACTTATATTGTTTAATAGGGTATTACTCAAGAATATGGAGAACTTTAATATTTGAAAAACGATATGGAAAAAGAAAAGGAAAAATAGATTTATTTTACATTGTATTGTGTTGGAGCTTTTTATTTGATGTATGTGCAGTAATACAACATATGGCTTGGAAATGTGACAAAGAGAAGTAATTGAAAAATCTGCATTTTTGGCAGGATATAAAACTAAGCTAATAATAAGCCTGTTTTCCACAACTGGTTCCTGGACTTAGGTCCAAGTTTGATTTGTTTTATGGCTCACACGCTGTAGGAATTTGAGGTGAACCTTTTGGTCCCTAGCAAATTGAGAACAGAAGCATGTGCTGATAACAATCAAGACAGTGACTGTTGCTTATATTAAAATATGAAAGAATTTCTGATATGTTTTGACTTGGAAACCATTAATAATTACAGTGTTTGATAATTCATCAGCAGGGTGAATTCTCGTCTGCAGCACAAATGACTAGTTTTGATCCTCAGGAAAGCTCATCTTTGCTGCCTTTAGCGGAAGTATTAAAGGAAGGTTTTTCAGTGGTTTTCAAAGTGTGTAAATGTGAATGTAATTACTTGTTAAAGATCATACCCAGCTACAGGACTGGGAGATAAACTGAAATCCTAATTTTCAGTGACACAGGATGGCTGACAAAACTGATTCTTCTCTTTTTTATGGTAGATTAAAAAGGAGTAGTAAATTATCATCACTGCTGGATACATATTTTGCCAACTACCTGTGTTGTAGTCTAGTAATGATTTATAGTACCTTTGACGGTCATAAAAATGTTGTGTGAATTTATATCCTACTTCATCATTTAACTAAAGGGACTAGTTTTGACAGTAACACAAATTTAAACGGAAGCTTCCTCTGTTTCAAAAGATGTTTTAAAAACAGTTTTTTATAATTCTCTGAATTCTTTCCAGTGGTAAAAAGTCTTTTCTCCCTTCCCAATGTGTTTCTTTCAGCACAATAGTAATGCTTTGCACATTGCAACACGGCATGGACATACGTCCTTGGTCAGATTTCTTATCAGTAAAAATATCAATCTGGTTCCTAAACCTGAGGTGAGTCTATTACAGTTACTGTTTTAGTGTTACTTCCATTGTTGTCAAGCGTGTTTTATCTATCTTGACTGCCTTTTCTGAGATTTGTGGTCATTTACCTATTACTGTTAGTCATAGAGTTTAAAGCCAGAAGGGAGCATCAGATCACCTAGCCCGACCTCCTGTGTATCACAGGCTAACGGGAGTTGGTCCAATAAAAATATTGTCTCATGCACCTTGTCTCTCTAATATCCTGGGACTGACCCGGCTACAGCTACGCTGTCTACTGACTATTTGCTGTTTGTTTTATCACTGTGGAGGAGGTGCAATTATATAAATAATATTAAAGTCTTTGAAACAGTTTATTTTATTAGTTTAAAAACCAGTCAGCCATGGTAGTACTGCTTATTTACATTCTCCTTCTATGGCTGCAGTAACTTATAAAATGTTAATATCAGTGGGTTTTTTTTCTTTGAAATGTCTTCAGTAAAAAACTGGATAAGAGCTTTATTTTTCTACAGCCTTGAAGAAATGGGTATTGTTTAAAAAGAGAGTAATGAACTGGAACTGATGCTGATTTTTCTAAAAGATCTATTTAACAGGGAACCTCCCTGGTTTACAGGTTCAACATAGAAACTGATCTGATCAGTCTCATGGTTGCATGGTGACTAGAGTTGGGCAAATGCCTGATAATTTTTTCCAATAATAATCACTTGAATAGTAAAACTGAACTCACTTCCAGCTGTGTTCACTCTCCACAGATATTGTAGCAAACAAGTTCACTGGCAAGAATGCTCACCGAAGCAGTAATATTTAAGTGAATGTTAGAGAATATTCCTGGAAAGTGGATTTTGAATGTGTATTCTTGAGTATTTTCCCAGAAGCCGGATTCACAGCTATGCACAGTTCATCCAATTTGATTGAATGGGTGCAACCTCCAATCATGTTGCTAGGGCAAACAGAAATAATGCCATGTGACCAATGTATTCAATCAAAACTATACCAGCACTTCTTTAAAATGAAATACTTATTATGGACTGCTTGCAGACAATCTACAGACCAAGAATTATTCATAGACATTATGCAGTGAATAATTACATTTTTCTCTATTCTGTTTGTTCTTTGAAAGCTGCTTTTGGGTCATTTGTAAGTGGGAAGGGGCTAGGAACTGAGCCCTGTGACTAGATCTACCCCAGAACCCTGCACCTCTGTGGTGACCTGCATCCTGTTGGGGACCAGGGCCCAAATGTGTCAAATACCTTCTCTAAGACAATATAGTCACTCAGCTGTAAGTGCAGATGATTTTGAATAGCTGCTTAATTTCTTTCTTGGCAACCTTAAAAGGACTTTTTAGTATTACAAGGATGAAGGGGTATCCCTAAATCACAGTTTGTTTAAATATGGGGGAAACAATAGTTATTTAGAAAATATTTTGTTTTTTAATATATAACAGAGAATACTTAATCCGTGAGGCAGAATTCAGGTAGTTCTCTTTTCCATGGGCCCTTCTCATTCACAGTACCACTTTGTGTAAAGCAGTGGTTCTCAACCTTCCCAGATTACTGTACCCTTTTCAGGAGTCTGATTTGCATACCCCCAGTTTCACATCACTTAAAAACTACTTGCTTTCAAGATCAGACACAAAAATACAAAAGTGTCACAGCAAATTGTAAACGTTGTAAAACTAGGCAAATATGCAGATGAACGCATACCCTCTGGAACAGTGGTTCTCAACCAGGGGTCTGGGGCCCAGCTGGGGGCCGTGAGCAGGTTTCAGGGCATCTGCCAAGTAGGGCCAGCATTAGACTTGCTGGGACCCAGGGCAGAAACCTGAAGCCCCACCACCTGGGGCTGAAGCCAAAGCCTGAGCAATTTAGCTTCACAGGATCACCTGTGGCCTGGGGCCCTGGGCAATTACCTGACTTGCTATCCTCTAACGCTGCCCTAGCTTTTATATGCAGAAAAACAGTTGTTGTGGTACAGACAGGACGTGGAATTTTTATAGCATGTTGTGGGGGCCTTGGAAAGAAAAAGTTTGAGAACCCCTGGCCTGGAAGACCGCTGTGTGCCCCCAGGGGTACATGTACCCCTGGTTGAGAACCACTGGTGTAAAACAATTGGCTGCCAAGGAGATATGTTTTGACAGAAAATTTTTACTGGATCATGCCATGTGTTTCAAATCTGAGCAACAGGTTTTAATGGGACTCTCCTGTATTATCTGAATGCTATTGTTAATGAAATTGTACTAGTCTTACAGTTCATTTGTTTCTCTCTACAGCAGAATTCCCCTCTCCATTTGGCTGTCCTCAATAATCACCTTCCGGTAGTAATTAGCCTCTTGGATGCTAATCATGATATAAACACCTTGAATCAGGTAAGCAAACTGAATCAGAGACCAAAAAAAGAGATTGTATTTTCTTCACTTTAAATATAAGCGTGTGTGTGTTTTACATATCTCTGAAAGAGGTCAAAGTACAAAAAGGGGGAAGAAAAGGCAGTTGCCTTCGATTTATGCATGAGTGTGTTGTTCATTCCACACATTCGGCTGATATTGTTTTAGAGTTGGACAGTAATGTGATATATATTCAGAAAATGCTTTCATTAATTTCTATTTGAATATTATACTTTATATTTAATACTTTGGTAAAGCATATCACTCTACTTGAACCTAAAGACAAACCCGCTGCAGCATGTCAGAACATGGAAGAACATTTTATTTCCTCAAGAAAAAGTCTAAATCCACCCCCACTTTTTTTCCTTTGAAAGTGATCTTCTAAGGTGCATGTTAAATGAGGCAGAGGCTTGTAGGATCCCAGTTAACTCACACAGTTGAAAACTTGATGTGATGCATAAAGTTTTGATCCACATAGAAGCCCTTCCCTTGGTTAATGGGAACCTTGTGCAGGTCCAGTCAAATAGTTCCAGATTAGGTATTTATTTGTCCTTGACCAAAAAAAAACAAGAACAAAAAGCAGTGAAGGAATTCCATGAAAACAACTACATCAAGAGAAAATTAAAATTGCCCAATTAGGCAGTTAAGAGTCAGAAAATACCAGACTTAAGATTCCTCTGCCTCCTTGTGCATATGTTGTTTTCTGAAGAACTACTGGGTTTTGTGGAATCTGCTGCTTTTTCTCTATTGTAGCTCTTGGATTGTATTTGTAATATTGTTACAGGACACCTGGAACTGGAGAGAGGCAGGATTTTCATATTTCTAAATCTAAACATTAAAAATAATACACAGTTTAACTACATGATCCATGCTATTTCTCAAGTAATACCAGAGATAAACAAAAACATTAACTTCTCAACACACACACTTCTGCAAACTTTTCTGGCCCATCTTATATACAAGTTACTTTTATTATCTCTGGCACACTTAGATAAATACATGCTAGTAAGAGATATTGTATTTGTATTTTTAAGATTGTAGAAAAAGTTGTGACATTTTATGAAGAAGAGTAAGTGATCATGCAATCAAAGACTGTATCATGGTGCATAAGCACAAGAAGGCATATGGAAACGTAACTCTGGCATTTCCTGATTTGTGAGCATTTAGCCATGCAATCTTAACATTCTTTTATGCTAGATTTATAATGGATATATAAAGACATAAAAATCACTCTAAACAGACCCACAGACTTCATAAATTAGCAGGAGCATAGAATCAAAAAATCTTTAACTTACAAGGACCCTGTGGACAACATGAGATTTTTTCAATCCAAAGGTATCAAAATATTTTGATTCTTATATGGCACTCCCATAAATAACATACCTTATCTGCAGTGAAGTGGCACTCATACAGGTGTTAAATACTTTCCTATACTTTCTATACTAGATAACAAAGAAAATCAAAGAATTACCTTTCAGTCTGATATAAGCAAGGGGCAAATGGTTCATCATGAAAAGAAAGTGGGAAATTCAGTTTGATTGTTAGGGGAGTGATTACTAGAACTGAATTCCAGTGTATACTGAGTTAAAATCTTGTTTGGAATGTAATGCTCCAGAAAGGCCAAGTAATTAGGCTTTATGTGGGTGAAGTGAAGAGCATTGTGGGAGGTGGGGTGGGGACAACAACAAGATTCCCATTTTCAGGTTCAGGGAATGAAACTGAAGTGTAGCATCCCTGGGCCCACTGCTCCAGTCTGTGTGCCTTTTGTTCACAGTTTGAAGGCCACTGAACCTGCGTGATTACAGATTCTGTGGCTCCTCCTCTGGCTTTCCTCCAATTTCGATGCCAGGGCTGGTTTGGAGACTTCTCTCCATAGAGTGTACGCTAACTTGCGTAGGAAGACCGTGGATTCTCCATCCCATTGAATCAAGACTGGATGTCGTTCTAAAATATATGCTGTAGCTCAAACAGAAGTTATGGGCTCAATACTGGAATCGCTTGGTGAAATTCCATGTCCTGTGTTACACAGGAGGTCAGACTGGATGACTATAACGCTCCCTTCTGACCTTAAAATCAATGAATACATGAGAATTCCACCAAGACTATCCACTGCTTTCCCTCTGCATAGCTTCACTACATGGCTTAAGTAGTGTGCAGGGCCTTGAACAAAGATTCCTCCCAGGGTGAATTTCACCCCTATTTACTGTTCAGTGGTACTTAATTTACGCAAGCTGGATTCTCCTTCCCTCTGAACAGTCAGTAAACAAACTATAAAGTCCTGCTAATCTGCTTGTAATTCTCTCTCTCAGAAAATGGACCGTCCGTGAAGCTGGTCGATTAAACAGGCAAAGAAAGGGTAACATAGGTAGCAAACATGATCTACAGCTGGGTTTGCTGCTACTTTGAAACAAACATTTCTAATGCGAGAAATTTTAGGCTTTTCTCCTTTGCCAGTTCTCATCTATGTAAACACAAGTCATGTACACAGCCAAAACATTTCTGCATATGTGATATGCATTGCTTTAGAGACTCCAGTCACTCTCTTGTTTGAAAGAAAATTGACAGTTTGATCATTCAGCTGTTACATGTCTTCATTCTGTTCAGGGTTTTCCAGTGAAGTGCATGTTCTCATCATAAACCTTTGGATTTTAATCATCTGTGTTTTATTTCCAAAGATACAAACTGGTTTACTGCACTTTTTTGTATTAATCCCTGCAGAAGCAACAAACCCCTCTCCACCTGGCAGCTGATCTTGGCAATGTGGAACTTGTGGAACTGCTGCTAAAGGCAGGCTGTGATCTCAAGATTGCCGACAAGGTATAGAGTACTGCATTATTCACATGGCGCTGCAGTTATGTGATGATTGCTTTGATGCCCCTCTCGTTGAAAATGTGGAGGTCAATGTTTCCAAACATTCTTCATAAAATGAGCATGACTAGAATGTAGCTGTTATGAAGAGAGTTTCCCTTTCATACTGTCACGGGGCTACAACTCACAGAGATCTGAATTTATTTTAGTGAATAGCTATTTGTGAGGTCAAATGTGACGAAAAAAGACGGTTACTCACCTTTGGAACTGTTGTTCTTCGACATGTGTTGCTCATCTCCATTCCAATTAGGTGTGTGCGCGCCGCGTGCACGATCATCACAAGATTTTTACCCCAGCAACACTTGGTGGGTCGGCTGAGGCACCCCCTGGAGTGGCGCCTTCATGGCGCCGGATATATGCCCCAGCCAACCGAGCGCCCCCTCAGTTCCTTCTTGCCAGCTACTCTGACAGAGGGGAAGGAGGGCGGGTTTGGAATGGATATGAGCAACACATCTCGAAGACCAACAGTTACAAAGCTGTTTTTCTTTTCTTTTTCAAGTGCTTGCTCATATTGATTCCAATTAGGTGACTCCGAAGCCTTACCTAGGCGGTGGGATCGGAATGAGATGTCGCAGAGTGAAGGACTGCTGAACCAAATGCAGCATCACCCCTAGACTACTGAATTATCGCATAGTGAGCAGCGAAGGTACGCACCGATGACCAAGTCGCTGCCCTACATATCTCCTGTACGGGTACATATGCCAGGAAAGCAGAAGATAAAGCCTGAGCCTGCGTGGAGTGGGCGGTAAGGTGCATAGTTGGGACATCAGCCAAGTCATAGTACACACGGATGCATGATGTGATCCAGGATGAGATGAGCTGGGAGGAGACTGGAAGGCTCTTCATCTGGTCTGCCACAGCAACAAACAGTTGCGACGTTTTCCTAAAAGGTTTCGTTCACTCGATGTAGAAGGTGAGGGCCCTGTGAACATCAAGGGAGTGCAGCTGTTGTTCCCATCGAGAGTCGTGCGGCTTCGGGTAGAAGATGTCCTGGTTGAGATGGAAGGCAGACACCACCTTAGGGAGGAAGGCCGGGGGGTGGGGGGTGTCACAGCTGTACCTTGTCCCTATGGAACACCGTATACGGCGGTTCCGATGTGAGTGCCCTGAGCTCAGACACATGCCTCGCCGAAGCGATAGCTACGAGGAAGGCTGTCTTCCAGGAAAGGTACAGGAGTGAGCAGGTGGCCATCGGCTCGAACGGGGCAGCCATGAGTTTGGGGAGGACCAGGTTAAGATCCCACATAGGGGACCGGTTGTTGAATTCGTGGGAACAGGCACTCCAACCCCTCGAGAAATCTGCGGACCATGGCTTTGGAGAAGACCAAACGCCCGTTTTCGCCCAGGTGGAAAGCTGAAATAGCTGCCAGGTGCACTCTGACGGATGATATTGCCAAGTCCTGCTGTTTTAAGGACAGGAGGTAGTCCAAGATGATAGGTACTGAGGCCTGTAGCAGGGCCATATGACTCTGAGCGCACCAGCAGGAAAAACGCTTCCACTTGGCTAAGTACATGGATCTGGTAGAGGGCCTCCTGCCACCCAAAAGGACCTGCTGTACCAAGCAAGAGCAGCACAGCTCAGATGGAGTTAGCCATGCAGCATCCACTCTGAGGTGGAGAGATTGCAGGTCAGGATGACAGAGTCGTCCGTGGTCCTGAGTGCTCAGGTCTGGCCGCAGTGGGAGAGAAATTGGAGTGTCCACCGACAGCTCTAGGAGAGTAGTATACCAGTGCTGCCTGGGCCATGCCGGGGCGACCAAAATCAGACAGGCTCTGTGCCTGCACAGCTTGAGCAGGACCCTGTGGACTAGCGGGAATGGAGGGAAGGCATAGCACAGGTGATTCTTCCACTGTACGAGGAAGGAGTTTGACAGGGAACCTGGAGAGCGTCCTTGTAGAAAGCAGAACACTTGGCATTTCTGATTCTCGCGAGAGGCGAATAGGTCTATTGGGGAAAGCCCCACTTCAAGAAGACAGAGTGGATGACGTCCTGGCGAACCGACCACTCGTGAGTCTGAAATGATTTGCTGAGATGGTCTGCTAAGGTGTTTTGGACTCCTGGGAGAAATGACGCCACCAGATGGATCGAGTGGGCTATACAGAATTCCCACAGATGAGTGGCCTCCTGACAATGGGGCGACGAGCAGGCTCCCCCTTGCTTGTTGATGTAAAACAAGGCCGTTATGTTGTCTGTGGGGACTGCAACACAACGGCCTTGAATGCGCTCTCGGAATGCTTGACACCCCAGGCGCACAGCTCTGAGTTCCCGTACGGTGATGTGCAGGGATAACTCTCCTGCCAACCATAGCCCCTGTGTACGGAGGACGCCAAGGTTGGCGCCCCATCCCAGGGATGATGCATCCGTGACCAGGGACACAGAGGGCTGCGGGGTGTGAAGTTTCACCCCTTTGCACACTGATTTGGGGTCCAGCCACCAGTCTAGAGAGGCTAATATCCCTGGCGGGATGGTAACCACCGTGCTCAAGCTGTCCCGACCTGGGCGGTATACTGTTGATAGCCAGGCTTGGAGTGGATGTAGCTGCAGCCTGGCGTGCATGGTAACATATGTGCAAGAGGCCATATGTCTGAGGAGGCATAGGCATGTTTTCACGGCTGAGGTTGGGAAGTTTTGCAGGCTGTGGATGATGTTCACCAGGGATTGGAAGCGTGCTTCCGGCAGAAGTGCTCAGGCTAGGCCTGAGTCTAAGACTGCTCCTATGAATTCTATCCTCTGGGTTGGTACCAGAGTAGATTTTGTGACCATTGAGCAGGAGGTCCAGTCGACTGAACATGTTGATGGTGAGCTGGACATGAGACTGCACCTGATCCGTGGAGCAGCCCCAAATAAGCCAGTCATCGAGGTATGGGAACACTTGGATCCGTTGTCGACGAAGGGAGGCAGCCACAACAGCCATGCACTTGGTAAACACCCTAGGGGCCGTAGATAAGCCAAAAGGAAGGACGGTGAATTGAAAGTGCTGTTGATTGACCACAAAGCGAAGGAACCGTCTGTGCGCTGGGTAGATCACAGTGTGGAAGTATGCGTCATTCATGTGTGGAAGTATAACATTTTATAAGTATAACGTTGTATAAGGGGACATGCTGGATACATTGTATATGAGAGGGCATGCCAAAACATGTTACAAAGTATCTGAGGGAGCACACGTAGGGACGGTTAGCTTTTGAATGGAGAAGCAATTAAGATAGAGCCAGCACGTCTAAGAAGCAGGCATCAGAATGGAAGGTGTGAAGGGCAATTAGTTAAGTTAACTGGAAGCTGTTAAAGGAGATTGAAGATACGTGACTGGTCTCAGGGATCTCGAAGGGTGGTGACTAAAATCTTTTTCTTCTTTTGTCTGTAACTTCTCTGTAACTTGTTCTCCAGCAAGCTGTATAAATTAAGAGACACAAGTCCCACTCGGGGGGCTTACTTCTAAATGTATTAGCAGAGCAGCTTTGCTAAATAAACAGAGTGGTCTGATAAATTGTGAGTCTGAGTCAAACTTTGACACATGTCAAGGGCGGCATACCAGTCTCCAGGATCTAAGGAAGGAATAATGTTCCCTAGAGAGACAATGCAGAACTTCAACTTTACCATGTATTTGTTGAGTCCGCGTAGGTCCGGGATGGGCCGAAGCCCGCCCTTGGCCTTGGGGATTAGGAAGTAGCGGGAATAAAAACCCCTGCCCCTTGACTCTCTCGATTGGTTTGGAATGGGGTGAGTGGGTCGGGGCATTCCCATCCCTGTGTTAGGGAAAAGGCAGCCTGCTTGGATTGATCTTGTGTTGTTGCCAGGCCTTTCTCCCCTCCCACATCTTGAGTCTTCAATTTTTGTGGCTAGAAAGGTGACGGGCTGCTCCTAGATGCGTGTTGTTGCTTCTTAGTGCACAGAGGATGCTCCGTTTGGCCCTGTTTCTTTCTCCAGATTCATTAAAATTCTACCTTGGTTATTGGACTTTTCAGTGGCCAGGAAAGAACCCCCCCATTTGTCAGGATGTCGTGTAACTTACTGAGTATAGCAACAGGTGTCCTAATGGCATGAACATATATTAGAGAAGGCAGGATTGCTCTCCTGTGAATGGGGAGCGACCAGGCAGATGTGGGTTCCAGTAAGTTCTTTAGGCCCTTTGTCTTTTCTTTTATGTAGAATGTTCTCTCTCTGATGAGGATTTTGTGAAATGTAAATTCCTGGGCTCCCAAATGGGCTAATTATAATGACCTTGAATGGAGCTGGAATTCAGAAGGTATATATTAGCGAACTTTATAATAGCTGGAGTGTTAAAGTGCTTTGTAATTTAATTTCTGAGCCCTCTAATTAGAGGCTGATTTCTTTCAGTCCTAATGTGACAGATCACCTACACCTTAATAGGTGGAAAATATCTAGAATACTTATATGTAGGGCGGCTGAGCTCCATGCAAATCCAGTGACAAAAAAGGATTACAGAGATAAACTAGTAAAGTCACAGAAGCATTTACATGGTTTTGAACTGTTAGTAGTAAAGTATTCATATGGATTAAACAGTGCTCTGTGGCTGGAATTAAAGCAGTGGTTCTTATGTGTTTTGGTGGCTGTACCAGACACTGAGCACCACCTCCTAGTTAACCTGCCAAGAAGTTGCTCCACCCTGTATTCAAACAGCCCATGTCCTTTACAGGCTAGAGTACACAATAGAGAATGAGAGGTGAGCAGCAGCAATATACCAGGGTCTGGGACATAAACTTGTTCTTATGCTAGGGGCTTCTCATCCCTACCTTAGTAACCACAAATATCTGAAATGCTCTACTCGTCCATTTGCAGTCTGGAATGCACTGAACTAAAGGGCTCCAGTTCACCCAGAGCAGCGACAGTGACATACTGTCACTCTGGAGGCATAAAATTATATTGAAATATTTTCTTTGCAAATGTCAGGGCTCAGTAAACAAAGACTTTAGATTCTTGCTATTCTGCCCGTCTCCTGGACACATGCTGTAACTCACGGTCTCTGTTTTCAGCAAGGAAAAACTGCGCTGGCTGTCGCATCCAGGAGCAACCATGCCCTCGTTGTTGATATGATTATTAAAGCAGAAAGGCATTACACCTTGAAACAGGTACGAAACAGCTCTCTTTCCAAAGGGGCCAGTAGCTGAAGAAGCAGATTCTAACCAGATTTAAAGTCCCTTCTGCCTCAGCTGGTTTCCTTCTTGCCTATCACCAAGTGTCACCTACCATTTACAAAATTCAGAAGAGTGAGTGCAGGATTGGAGAGTCCAGAGTTCTAGTCCAGGTTTTGCCTCTAACTAACTGTGAGGCCTTGGGCATATCCCTTCCCCTCTCTGCCCCAGGCACTAACACATGGAAAAAACTGCAGAGGTGACAACATTAACCAAACTTCACATTGTTCCATGAAATCCCAGGAGCCAGGCTGTTCCAGATCCAGGCTGCTCCTCTGAAAATCAAGCCCCACCTATTTAAAAAAAGCAACCAGCCAAAAGCATTAACTAAGCTTCAGTTCAGTTAATGTGTCTCTCACAGCATTCTCACCTGACCAGCCTTCCTTTCCTAGCATCCAGTGAGACATTTCCTCTGGCTGAGAGGCCCACCATTATATAAGTATTGGCAAGTGGACTTATATCACTACTTACAATACACACACCCAGTCAGACAATGGAACCACCTGCCTTTTGACAATGTTTGCTGGTTCTTACTAGTTCCTTGGAAATATAAATAGACTGAGAGAGACATGCAGTTGCCTGCCTCCTTGTTATACTTCAGTGTGTAACTCTGTAATCTTTTCTCTGCTTTACCTCTGCTTATCATTGCTAAGCTATTACACAGATACATTACTTGTCTTTCCTTCATATTTCCTGATAATTAATGCTGCAGGGAACCAGTGCAGGTAAAGCAGAGTTCTTGGGGAAAACAAGTCCACGGACTGCACAGCTTCTGTGTGTGTCTGATTGGGTTTGGTCCAGCTGGAATTGTTGTCAGGTACATTATTATTCCTTTCAGCTTAAAAGGGAAGTGGAGGTCAGGCTATTCATTCCTGGAGAAAATATGACCACTGAGATAGCACTAAGGAATACTCCTTTCGATACATTTACTTAACTGTCTGAGGAAAAGAAAAGATGTATAAGCAGGTGTTTTTGTGAAACAGTTGAACAGATGTTAGAAGCACTATGGTTTTATTTTCTACCACGTTATCTGTAGCTAAGTATCTCAATACAGATGGGCAAGGGCACTGGAGTAGCAAAAATATTACTAGTATGGAACATAAGCTGCTAGGAAATAAACAAGTGGTGGTGTTACAATATTCTAACTATATTGTTTTGAACCATTATTTTAGAACACTTTTATTAAATTAAAATGTCCTACAATCCAAAGCCATACTTCGGATGCTTTAGACAGCTACCCTCTTATTCTCCTGGCACACTGTTCTGGGGTTTAAAATATTCATCCCACTCCCATTATGAGCAGAGTTAAGCACATACTTTAGTCCCATTGAATTGACAGGCTTAGATGCTTTGCTGAATTGGGGCCTTACAAGATGTCTGCAATAGAGGTACCATTCTGGCCCTTTGATGTCAATGATAAAACTCCCTTGTTTTCCCCCCACCCTTCCAAGATTCTCCACTGGTGCTGCTCCATTAGTAAGAGCCTCAATGAAGTAAGGACTCCAAGGGTCCACTGTGTTCTGCTTCTAACCATGTCATCTAACTGTGAGAGTTGTCTACACGTTGCTGTGGTTAACTTGCCAGCAACCAGCGCATTGTCTATACTAGTGTCCTCACTAAGGACATTGAGCCAGTGGTAGGAAATTTGACAAAGCCTAATGTAGACAGACCACGAAACATGGCTTGCACGTGTTTTTTCTGTTCACAGAGGCAACAGAAAACATCTTATGTGGCTTAGTCACAATTATGTTTAAAAATGATCATTACGGTAGCATAGACAGGGCCTACCTACAAAAGCATATTAACAGTAAATCTATAGCAAGATTGCTGGTGAAATCAGCATTTAATTTGACAAGTATCTTAATATATTACATTTTAACTCATACAACAACAGGCTTTAGGTCCTGTCCACTCTACAGTTAATTTTGCTCAGCCATGTTTTGAGATTAGTTGCAGTTGCCCTAAGCAATGGGGAAAAGGGATTTCCCCCCTGCTTAGAGCTCTGCTAGCTAGCCAAACTATGGTAACAGGGTACTCTTTATTTTATCTACACTAAGAAAATTACCTGTTGCTGACAATGGATTTCAAAGTCCACAGCTGAACGTGGTTTAACTGTCAGGGTAGCCAAGTACAAATGTTCACTATTGTTTCTGAATCTGTAGTTAAAATTTGTGCAGCTTATTTAACATCTTTGTTTTCTTTTTAGGAACATCTAGAAAACCATGTTGATGCACCAGATTTTAGTCTAGTCTTCAAACAGGATCACAGTGCACAGACTAAGCAAATCCGTTACTGCCTCTGGAATCTGGCTTACAATCAGTTAAAACCCCAGGAGTGGAAGACACTGGCCTCGTTCTGGAAGTTTACAGAGGAGCAAATTAAAGCTATTGAAGAACAGTGGACAGGTAATGAAATGCACTGATCAGGTACAGTAGTATATAAATAGCTTAGGTGAAGACATGGCTGCTGGGAGTTATAGTCAACTCTGACCTGGTTTTTGACATATGGGTTCACAGCTACACATTATTTCCTTAGTCAAATAGGGACATTTCACTCAAATCAAATTCATGCTATTTTATCTGATTTTTTTTAAATTAACTTCAATTGTGAATTTAAATAAATTTCATGTTAACACATCCTGAGAGACCTCATTCATGCACCTGCTTCAGAATCCTCGGGGACTGCTGACAATCTCTCCATATTTTTTAGGAAAGAACCATATAGTGTTGACAGTTCACCATTTCTGCAGCACATACTGCATTCTTTGCTAGTACACCATGGTGTATTTCCATACATTAACACAAGTTAAAAGAATAAATTTATTTTAAGAACCATTAACCTTGATTTTTTCCATTCGCTTTAGAGTGAAAACTAGTCTTTCACCTTTGGAAGTCTTAGTTTCCATCTTGCTTATAGGACAGAAAGGAAATAAGTGCGTGAGTAGAGTTGGAGGAATGCCGTACAAACTGGGATCTTTTACAAAAGCAGCTGGGACAACAGGGTTTTTTACTCCAAGCAGATGGCACAGACATGTATGTTGTATATTGCATAGGAAAGAAGAGCTATAAGGAACATGGACACCGAATGCTGCTCATCTGGTTACATGGTGTATTGCTGGCTCACCAGAATCCAGTCAAATATATATATGAAGATCTGGTGCATGTAGGATTTCAACAAGTAGCCGGTAAGCTATTGTTTAATATGCAAGACAAAGCTATGTGGGGGAGATGCTCTGTAAGTGCAGTCCTGCAAAAAGAACAAGGCTCCCTACTAGATCTGTAGTTATGGGGATTTTGGGCTTGACTGGGCAGAGGAAACTATTAAAATTACTTCAGGGTTGAGGGGTGGGGAGATGGACAGACTTTTTACAACAAACGCAGTTCCAATTGTAGTAGCATACCTGACACGGGCCTGGGAAGGAGCAATGCCTGTCTAGTAAGAGCATTTTTCCATCTTTCTTTACAGATAAAATCAGAGCTGAAATGAGCCCAGAGATGGATTCGAGGAAATGTGCAGTTTCATGAACTCTTTAATAGAAGCTGTCATAGGCTATGGACTACGTTCCAGATGGAAAATCATTTGTAAATGCTCTTTCCAGAAAAGATCTTACAATAGAACCTTCAGGAATGGAGGTTGTTTGTAACTCTGAACAAAATATTTCAAAAGTTTACAACTAAACATTGACTTGATACAGCTTTGAAACTTTACTATACAGAAGAAAAATACTGCTTTCCTTTATTTTTTTTTAGTAGTTTACACATTTAACATAGTACTGTACTTTTTTTTCACCTCTGTTTCTGCCTGATTGTCTACTTCTGGTTCTAAATGAGGTGTGTGGGTGACTGGTCAGCTCATAACTGTGAGGTTCTACTGTATTTGCAAAATGTAGCTCACCATCTATGAAGTTTTTCAAAGCTTATTTATTAGTGCTACAAACTTCTATACCTGAGTTATTAATTTGGTTAGTTCCAGACTCTGCCTTTGACAGTTCATCTTTGAAAGAAATTACATAGTAATTTTAATTGAATTTTTTATGGCAGAGAATGACCACTACAATTACACGAATGTTAATTTGTGACTATCCTGCCAAGTGAGAGAACATGCTACAATGTTTGTGTATGACTTAAACTAATACACTAATTCCATATTGGAACTGCACTTAAACCAGTTTGTGCTTAATACTGAATGTAGTTCCTGTCAGCTAGAAAGCAGATCACTTGTATTTCATAAATGAGGATTATGTGAATACATAATAAACACTTTCTCCATAAATAGGCCAGCACCCAGCCTAAATTTGAGATTTAGCTCATTTTAAAGTAAATTGCGAAGAGGATAACTGTTTCCTGTTTTGACTGGCTTTGACTTGTTTAATGACATGACTTGGGTGGATATTTATTCTTAACATTTTTTGCTTATACAGGACGAAAGTACAAGATACAACTTCAATATAACATGGGCAGGTGCCTCATAATAGGAATAAACTTATCCAACAAAAGGACACAACACTGTATACAGATTACTCTTGTAAACAGCTTGTGGATGCATCTGTACTGTTCCTTTTCCAAAACAACAAAGCTTTGTTATTTGGGAATTAATATGTGATGGTAGCTTTTCTCTAGAATGAGAGCACTGAACATTTGTTGAGAGTACCATGGGGCTGTTTTAACAATTTACATTTGGTTCTGCAGAAGATGCTTGACTTGTTCATTTAAAGTATCTGTTCATCTGGTAATTTTTTCATTTATTAAATTCTAATGACAAAACTGAAACTTATTCTTTTCTAGTTGCACTCATCTGGGGGAAAAAAATCTCCAGCAAGCCTGACGGTTGCTTTGGTAAAGGTAGTAATAAAACAAATTCTGCATTAAAAGCATTCTGCAGTCCTGGGCATTTGCACCTGTGCAAGAGCGTAGGACCAGGTTCCCTTCCTCTAACATCTTAGATGAATAGTGACTGTGTTGTCACATGAGCTGAAAGGACCTAGACAAATTGGAGGATTGGGCCAAAAGAAATCTGATGAGGTTCAATAAGGATAAGTGCAGGGTCCTGCACTTAGGACGGAAGAACCCAATGCACAGCTACAGACTAGGGACCGAATGTCTAGGCAGCAGTTCTGCGGAAAAGGACCTAGGGGTGACAGTGGACGAGAAGCTGGATATGAGTCAGCAGTGTGCCCTTGTTGCCAAGAAGGCCCATGGCATCTTGGGATGTATAAGTAGGGGCATAGCGAGCAGATCGAGGGACGTGATCGTTCCCCTCTATTCGACATTGGTGAGGCCTCATCTGGAGTACTGTGTCCAGTTTTGGGCCCCACACTTCAAGAAGGATGTGGATAAATTGGAGAGAGTCCAGCGAAGGGCAACAAAAATGATTAGGGGTCTGGAACACATGACTTATGAGGAGAGGCTGAGGGAGCTGGGATTGTTTAGCCTGCAGAAGAGAAGAATGAGGGGGGGTTTGATAGCTGCTTTCAACTACCTGAAAGGGGGTTCCAAAGAGGATGGCTCTAGACTGTTCTCAATGGTATCAGATGACAGAACGAGGAGTAATGGTCTCAAGCTGCAGTGGGGGAGGTTTAGATTGGATATTAGGAAAAACTTTTTCACTAAGAGGGTGGTGAAACACTGGAATGCATTACCTACGGAGGTGGTAGAATCTCCTTCCTTAGAGGTTTTTAAGGTCAGGCTTGACAAAGCCCTGGCTGGGATGATTTAACTGGGAATTGGTCCTGCTTCGAGCAGGGGGTTGGACTAGATGACCTTCTGGGGTCCCTTCCAACCCTTATATTCTATGAAACAATCCATTGGTTTGGTCTCAATGAGTATTGAGATTCCTTCCATTTTTATGGAAACAGCTAGGAGGCTGCTATGGTGAATTTTTTTCTCCTTGTACTATCTTGGATCTGTTAGCTAAAGTTACCTTCACACTCTTTCCCTAGCATTAATCCGCACACCTAATTTCATATGTTACAGTACTACACAGAATCTTAAGTCTTTCAGTCAGCGACTGAATCCAGTTCAGTTTCTTTTAAAAAACTTAAACCTACTTGTAATTAACATTTTATATAAAAAACCCTGGACAAACATTGATTTTGATCCTTTATTAAAAACCGTATTCAACAGCTTCCTTAAATATACATGTAATAAAATAGGTTCTCAAATAGACATAGCTTGCACTTACAGAGAACTACATTGCAAAGTCAAATTGCTATTTTTCCTCCTCAACATTTGAATATGTCTACAATTTGATTTTTAAAAAGTAAAAACATGATGTATCCTTGAGCCTTGTTACATCAGTCTGGAAACACTGGGAAGAGCTTTACTCTGCAACTTGGTAAAACTCTGCACCTGGAAGGAAAAATTCAAGCCTTTCAAAATACTCCTTAGTCCACAACTTTTATTGACTGAACATTAGTATGAGCCTGGCTATGAGGTGTTCGTCCACCATGTCCAGTAGGTCTCACACTGGTGGCATTAGAAGCATGGTGCACAGTTCGAGAGTATTTAGCAGCAGTGGCTTGGGATATAGTTTGCTGAAAAATAAAATAAGATACATCTTACTATGAACATTTTAAAAAGTACTCCTAGAAATTGAATTCCCCATTAAGTTAGCTGGAATGCAGTGAACCTGAACCTAAAACAGAAGAACCAACCAGTAATGGATGGAGAGTAATACAGGTCACTGACCTCACTTTCTCTTAGCTATTCATCACCATCTATGCTTTAACTCTTTTCAAAATTAAAAAAAAGTTCTTATTTGTGCAGATGGAAGCTTTTAATAAACAGTGCAGACAACAGTGCTAAGCTTCTGTAATTAGCTTAGAAAAAGATCAGACTGTTTAATTCAAGCACCTTGGTTGAGTTATTCTTTTGTGGTCCGATTTAGTTACAGCAACATTCCTTTAAAGTTAGGATAGTTTCTGAATAAATCAAGATGGCTTCCTCCTAAGGAAATATTCAGATGTCAGTTACCCTTTGGTAAGAAGACAGTTATGTTTCCTTACAAGGCTTAAGGCTGTTTTGCTACAAGGCAGATGGCCTCCCTGTTGCAGTAACTATGGTCATTCTCATTTTAATCACACTTAACTACTCTCCAGCCAGAATCTTTCCATTGCCAAAGATTAATTCAATCAGAAAACCACTTCACGACAGCTGATGCAGCATTATGTATTTATTGCCAAATGTACATGACAAGTGGTAAGGTATGTGTGACAAAGGCCTGAAACATCCCCTGGTTCAGAGAGCTTCAAGGGGGCCTAGTTTCCTTTTCTAGTTTGAGGCTGAACAGAGGGTGCACATGCCTTCCAAATTTGCTCTCATCCCCTGCCCCTTTTTAAATTCCTTTTCCAAGCTCTAGCCAGCTCATATTTAACACCTCTACAAACAGTCTAACAGTTTGAGCGTCCATATAGTCATACAATCTGCATCCAGTCCTCGCCGTCAGAAAAATAAAGCTAACAGCATGCCTCAGGAGCCCCAGGGCCGAAAGTAAAATGGAGCTCTGGCCCCCCTGAAATGGGCGGGGCTGGGGTCAGCATCCCCCAGCCCATGCTGCCAAGGGCTCCAGCGGCCATTTAAAGGGCCCAGGGCTCTGGCTGCCGCTGCGGGCCCTTTTAATTCGCAGCCCCAGGACAGCTACTTCTTTTGCCTCCCTCCCCTCCCTTCCCCATCAGCAGGGGACCAAAGGGGCAACAACATTAAAGCACTGCCATGGCAGCGCTTTAACATTGCTGCCCCTTCTGCGCCCCCACCTTGGCGGCCCTGCCGGTAGGGACCCAGCAGGGCCATCGATGAGGGGCGCAAAAGGGGCAGCGATGTTAAAGGGCTGCTGCGGCAGCACTTTAAAGTCAGCAGTATGGGCCACTACTGGCGGCTACTTTTTACCGATGCCGTCTTACTTTCATCCCTGCCCAGGGCACAGACCACCACTGCTTACGAACCTGTATCTTTCCCAAAAGCCCCTGGAAAAGACGACTTGCCACATGCTAGAAGGTTAAATCCAGGCTCTGGTGAACCAAAACCAATGGAAAATTGTCCTGGAAAACCAATGTAGAGTTGAGGAAGTGTTCTGTTGGCAACCCCAGCTGCTTATATCAAAGAAGCTCAAGCACATCTGAGCTATTATGGCAATATCACCCCAGGAGGCAGATGATCTTTCATGTAACCAGACCCAAACAACTTAGGACTTCACAGGTTAAAACTCACATCTTCAGCTAGATTCCTCCTTCATATACATCCAAGAGACCAAAGGCTCTTGCTCTGATGGTGGTCAGCCTAATTAGCTGTACAAACAACTTAGAATGATCTCTTTATGCTAATAAAGCCACTGCTCAAAACCCTCTTTCCTTGGTGTATATTGGCTATCCAATATCCTATTGCTATAGTCATTCAATTCACCATCACACAACATACTGCATAGGAAAGGATGCGTGCGCGGTAGGGAAGGGAGTAGAAGAATCAAGTACAGCAAAAAGAGGGGGTGGGGGGACGGACACAGGACGACTTTGTTGCCATCCACACAGTGGTTTGGTTGGGGCATGATATTAAGAAAAGTGATACATGCTTTAAGTCAGTACATCCTGTCACTACCGCTTTTGACCCACCCACATTTCTCACTCATTAAATCAAGTTCATACTCAAGTTCTAGCTCCACAACGACTGAGGAAGCATTGCTTCCAAAAAGCTATTTAACCTCCATTGTGCAGAGGGGACCGACAGCAGGAGATGTACAATGAACCAACAAAGGCTTCTAAACCTATCAAAACTATTATTACAACCAGAAGGGGGAAATGAGGGTAGAGTTTAAGTGGGATTATTCATTTCCAGCCCTCATCACTTTGATGTGAATCTTTGTTGCTAGAACACACCCACCAGAAAAAAAAATACTGCTTATTTACTCTAATAGCGCTCACATGTACCTGTTAAAACAAAGATGAGACCGCCCCACCACGATGAGCTTTTAAACTACTTGTAGACATGGTGTAACAAGGCAATTATTACCCCAATATCAGTTGGACTTACCTGAGTGACTGGATGATGCTTTTCTACAACAACTGAACTCATGGGTGGGGAGACTCCCATTACAGCTAAACTACTACAAATTCTGTTCTTTTGTCCCAAATCAGATCGGCCTGTGATTCGAGCAGTGATTGTTCTTCCTGCCTTCTGCTGAGCAGATGTCACTACTCTTGCTACAGGCTACGAACAAACAAGACACATTAGTAGAGATGCCTACACACAGTATTTACAATGCAACCAGGCAGCTGCTTTGGTTTATTAGCTACATATATGAGTAGAATTTATGGGTACTGTAGGTAAACTAGAGTCCATAATGGTATAGAACAGATTCCATACAGTGGGCACAATTAAAAATTGGGTATTTATTACCTGCAGTTACATTTACCATGGTATTTCCAATTCTATATAAAGGCAATGCTACATTTATCATGATACTAGCAAGTACGGTGATGTGATTAATGGCTATCGTGCTGAAGCATAGCAAACCTCGTTCATGAAAGGGCCCTCTTTGTCAGCTTTTTTGACAAATCTAGCAATATGGAACAATTGTAGCTTTACTTTCTGGCTGCAAGCTAGTGACAGCTGTCGGCACCCACATCAGCCCAGCAGGGTCCTTGAATCAATAATGTACCAGGCACCAAAAAGGTTACACATAATGAAACTGAGGCACTGCAATTTTTCAATCTTCCATCCTTCCCCAGAGGAAGTACTGGGAGCAAACTGCCAGATAGGAGTGAGCTTAGCAACAGAGAAGATGGA